CTTCTTCATCACTCTCTGAGGGCCATCGTGGAGCTTGAGTAGGGTGACCATCGGATCGATGACGCTTTTTCGGACCACCGCAAGCTGAATGATTGAATGGCCACCTGTTAGTAATGGAGATCGACAGGTTCAACTTTTTCTAAGCATGATGTTGCACTTACATGGTCGGGTAAAGCCACCGTCATGATGGCCTGAACAGAGACTTTAAGCTCCCGCCATTTGCCTTCCAGCTCGACATAATTCGACTGCGCGACATCGACAAATCCTTCGATCGCAGCGACAAATTCGTTGAAACAATCCATTGAACTCTGGACCTCTTTTGTGTATGATTCTGCATCACGCATGACGAGCTGCAGCTGGAAAAAGTTATCTCCAAACTTCTGGGATAGGCTGTCGTAGTCTTTATCTTCGAACAAGTCGATGAGTCCTACTTGCTGCTTCAGCTTCTCGGTGCGTCTGCCAAAAGCCTTGGACAAGCCGGTCCGAACATCAGACTCCTTGCGTTTACGTCCGACCACCTGACCCACAAGATCCGCACGCTTTTTCATTTCATTGATTCTGACAGAGATATTGGTAACCTCCTCGAAAGCAGTAATGAGAGCTGTCCGGTCAGGATGATCATTGGGTGTCGAGTCGAGAAGTTCAGAAAGTAATAGAGGATACTTCAGAATCCTCTGTACGGGCTTCACCAGTAAGGAGTCCAAATCCCATGCAGTTGTGAGATCGGAAGCCCAATCACGACACTCCTTGAGCCAGATCGCCACTTTCGGGTTTCGCTGCAGAGTTTGGAGCTTTCTATTAGCAGCGTCGTGATTCTTGAGATAATCCGCATAAACCTTTTCCATGTAGCCAATGTGTGCCACAAAAGCTTGTCCAATGAATGTCATTTGGTCCTTCTCATGGTCCGAGAGGCCCATGTTGTCTGATTTGTCTTCGTTCCTTGAAGCTTGGCGATGTCGCACACTGCGCTTGCTGCTCCATCTTTGCGACTTTGGCATTACATAGACACTTTTCGCGGCTTCTTTCAGGGCGTCTTGGAAAGCCATAGAAAACTGAACGACTTGGTCGGAATTTGCGAAGAGAACTTTGACGTCTTCGGAAGAGAGGTCCAAACATGAACTCGAGGTTCCCTTATATATATCGTCAACAACTTTCATATCCCGACCAAAGGTGTATTCAGTATCAATGAGCTCCTTGATCACGTTTCGTCGTTTCTTCAGCCGCCGTTGTTCGGGCGAAGGCGACTGGGGTTTGGACTGGAGATGCTCAGAGCTTGAATGTGCCAGTGATGTAGCAGACGAGTGCAGCGTCTCCGGAGATAGCGTCGGTTCAAGCCGCTGCAGAGATGAATTTTCACTGCTCCCTGTGCTATTTATAGGGTCCAAAGGAGAGAATATCCCATTGATATAGGTGCTGAAACGCTGATTTGCGATGGTGGCGGCTGAATCATATTGAGTGGGTGGCTGCGCGATGTCGGTTGCCGTTTGCCTATGATCAAGGGTCGAGCTATGTTCATGGAAATGCGAGTCCTGAGGGACCTGGACGTTGACTGCCAGTTCGAGACGTCCTTCCGTCACTTCCTGCGATGGATCCCGGGCGCTTGACGTGTCCAGCCGCGGCGTGGACGCATTGTCTAGTCTAGACGCCGAATCGCTTCGTTCGCCTTGCGGAGTTGAACCATCCGCGGCAGCAACCTGCATCCAATCCATGATCGAAGGAGATGCATGCTCCCAGTCGTCCCGCATGACGAGACTGGCTGCGTATCTGGTCCGCTCAGAGGCAGGCATATCTGTGCTATGGGGGACCGAACTCGCGTCCTCAGACCCGTCGTCTTCCTTCGTATGAACGGCTAGCTGTTGGGGCTCCGGAGAAGCACGTATAGCCGGCAAGGGGAGACCAAGCCCTCGGCCGTTAGCGATCTCTTGGATGTAGAGCTGACTGACTCGCTTGGAGTCCCAGCCCCCGAGCCTGGCTAAGCTAGGGGCACTAGTCAGTGTATAAAGATTGGCTTGTGGCACAGCCTCTGTCTTCAAGTCGTGTGATGATGTCTGTGTCAATGGATTCGCGGGCGGGTAACCAGCCTCAGACCGAGTACAGGACGACGCAGAACATGAATGAGTTGCAAACTCACTCCCATCAGCGGAATGGCGAGGTGGTGGGATGTCATCAACACTGCGCTCGCATTGTTCGTCTGTAGAATGCTGGTTGTGGAGGGATGATGACCAAGAACTAATACTCCATCGGTGGGACATCTCGTTGTCTGTTGTTTCATGTTGTGTATAGAGATCGCACGGCTCCTGATTTTCGCTGCTGTCCGTATGGTCATCGAAGCCCAGCGCACCCCGTAGCATGATGGGCACCGACTCTTTGTCGTCAGCCTCAGAGAGGCTACAATCTTGTTCATCACATGATGAACTGCTGGAGCTCGACTCGCGTATGTGCATGATTTGAGTCAACAATGCTCGATGCGAAGCATGTTTATTTTGCATGAGGTCGACTTGTGGTTCTATGTCGAAAGCGGTGACATGTGTCTCATTGGATTCCGAGGTTGAAGCAGACACGGGAGCCCCGTGTGCATCGCAGTCACTCTCCAGCTCACCAGCAATAACAGGCTGGTGCCCTAATGTTGGAGAATCCATGGTTGTATGCGACTCAAAGGTTTCAGTTTGCTTCCCCTGCAAGACCACATGTGTATCGACATATAATTGGGGTATCGTCCGCGTTTCTTCGGGCTCTTGCTCCAGGTTCAACTGCTCGTGACCTACACCCGCTGCTTCGTCTGCGACAGGAAGGTCATCCTTCATGAGCGCAGAGTCACCAAAGTCTTGCTGCTCAGCCTGCAATGCTTCAAGTTCAGCGGCGTCGGTGCCTTTCGTGTCTTCCAATTCCTTATTTCGACGTCGAATCTCGGCCGCTTTCTCCTCCTTTCTCTCATTCTCCTGTACCGTGCGATTGAATGCCTGTTGAATCCTTTCACGTCGGGTCGCAAAGTCAACATTGCCCAACTCTGGCAATCGGCGATCCCGAGGTCGCGAATTCCTAGACTCTCGGTCACGATTAATCTGCCTCTGGAAGTTCGACACGGTTTCAACGACTCTCGATCGTGGAGTTTGGAGGGTAGTATGTGATACGGGTTGCCGAGGCCGGGAGCTCCGGAGGGGTGGCGATTTGGCTGGCGGAGGCGCCTCTATGTAAGCTTCCAAGAGACCACTGCTCTCGGGGATTTGACGACGGGACCGGGCATGGGTGCGTGGTGGTGTTATCAGGACGTGATGATCATTGTGTAACGTGTCACGCTGTGCTTTAGGCGACGGTTTTGGAAGGCGGCTAGTGCCTTTCGGTGGCAGGGGAACTCGAACCGTCGAATGACTTCCGGACCCCGTAAAACCGGTCCTCGAGGGGGTGGAAGACTCGTCTGAATCCGATGTTGAATGAAGGCGGTGAGATGAAATCGGAATGCGAGATTTAGCGTTTGAATGTTCTTGAAATGTTTGAGAACCGGACTGCAAGGGGGCGGGAACAGCCATGTGGAAATCAGAAGGGTGCACGGCCGTTTCCACCGACCAAGTCCCGACGAAATCGCTTTGTGTTCTTCTGTGATTATTCGAACTGCTGCCTGTGCTCACTTCTTCCAAGAATGGGGTACGTCCAAGGTACCATGCGGTGGGTGTTAGTGGTGTTGGACCGGATGAATGGTCTAGGTGGTCTAAGAAAGCGGGACTTGAGCTGAGAATATTGCCCTCAGATCCGCGACGACGCGAAGCAGGGTACTCAGCGCCCAGAAACCCCGTGTCGACACTGAGTTTCTCGCCGAAGATTGCACGTCGGGGATCTCTATCTGAATTGCGGTTGTTCAGGATATTCCCGCCCTGGTCAATTGGTCGAAGCGGTAGAGAAACCGGATCCGACGTGTCTTCACCAAAGGTATTTAGGGAATGCCAACGAGGAAGCTCTTGTGCATTGGCCGTGTCGTGAGCCTCACGCGAACGAGAAAGCGCTCCCGATCGATGTGATTCTCCTACTGGGCTGGTAGGGCTAGCAGCCCTCGATGGCGCCCGAGATCCAGCTGTGAGTGACGAAGGAACGGGGAGAACCTGGTCGCTATTGTTATTAAACTTGTTGACTAGGTCTTTGAATGATGTCTGCCTGGCCCTGGTCGTCGAGGCCCGCGCGGAGGAGCCCCAAGCGGAGTTACCACCAACGCCCTTATACGAGTCGGAAAATGAACGACCCTGACCCGCACTCCCGCTTGAGGACTCGATCGAATGTATTGGTACCGAGGAAACACGCTGGAATAGATGGGGACGCTGCTCTGCGGTTACGTCACTCTGGTCTTCGCCCACAGCACCATCATTCACAGTATAATTGCCTGTTGGCAGTTGCGCTCGATAAAAGTCGTCAGGGTCAGGCGAAGATCGGCCAGAATTGTCTTTATGATCGTCGGAGGGAAGGGTTGCAGGTAGGGAGTAAGGTTGCAGGCTTGTGAAACTCGGTTCAGTGGGATACGTTTTACCCGACAGAGAAGGAGAGAAGGAGGGCGCGGCTAGGGAGACGTGGTAAGGGTCGTTTGACAGGGAACCGTAATAGGAATTGTGAATATCGTGGGTGTCTGAGGAAGATAACCGCGGGCTGACGTCCAAGAGCCGGGAAGCGTGCTCAACATCACTCCCGGTCATCTTGCATCCTTCAGGCGGAGAGTCAGCGGATTGTCCTCCTTCGACTCTGCCCTTTTCCCAAAGAGAGGTGGGCAAGGGAGGAGGCTGGATGAGAAAAAAATCAATGCGAGAAGAAAGGAGCAAGTACCCAATAGAAGATTTGGTTGGGAAGGGGTGGGTGTTTTCCAGGTCAAAGGTACTAATCTCTTGATGCGTTGTTCGCCGCTGGTAGGCCACCGATGAGGTTGCAGGTTAACCGGGCCAGAACTATAAGGCAATCATCACCGGGTAGTACCACCCGAGCACGGCGTCATATTTGAGACGAGTTGAGACCACCAAGCCAGAGAGGGACGATTCGAAAGCCGTACCCCCGAAGACCGGAAGATTTGTCAAGCTGCTGGACTCAAAATAGAAGCGGGGACTGAAGGAACAACAGACTGCGAGACAGCCGTCTGTCAGCAATGACCCCCAGGTGGACAAAGGGCGACAGAGAGAAAACCAACAACAGCAACAATTCCTGTTGGGTCAGACGACGGGCGGAACAAACGTTTGCACGGCGTCGAGCAGGGGGATGTAGAGGAGGTAGGTTGGTGGTAATGTGGGTGATGGTTGACGGAAGCAAGAGAAAGAAGAGGGTGTGTGGGAAGACGTAACAAGCGGGCCGAGAGGGGAGGGGTTTGTTGAGGTCAAAGTGGCAGGGCAGGGTAAGGCCGTAGTCAAATAAAAAGAGAAGAAACAAACCATTCATTGATTCAATTCATTCATGGATGGATGACGAACAGCAACCAAACGGTACCCATCAAGTAATCGATAGGAAAAGCCCAGACCCAGTGTATCCAGTCAGTCCAGTGTCGGGTTGCTTCCTATCGATTGGGAAGGGCTGCAGGTGGGCCGACTACTTTCAGATGCCCCGTTTGATGGATTGGAAGGGTGTGTGTGTGTGGTCACTGTGTGCGTGTGTTCCCTCTAACATTTGTTTTTCTTTTTCCTTTTCCTTTTATTTCTGTTTACAGAATTTCTTCTTTGATTTTGGTAGGGTAAGGGGACTGGAAGAATTACAGATTACTCGATGCGTCGGTAATTTTTTTGGTACTGGGGAGCGACTACCTAGTAACTTACTAGTGACGGCAAGAATCGACCTTGGGTTTGAAAGTGGGTGCGGAGAAGGTGGATAATCAGGAGTAAAAAGCGAGGGGAATCCACCCAAGGAATTGACCAGAACTCTGAGACGAAAGGGTGACGGGTGTGCAGAGGGCAGAGGGGGTAAAGGGAAAAAAAAAGAGGAAAAAAAAAAAAAAAAAAAAGGAACCCCTCCCCCTGCCCACACCCCCCATTCTAGAACTAGTCGAAGAAAACCAATATAGAAATTGTATGATAATAACAATGTTAACCCGACCGAGGGCCCCTAAAAAAGAGACTTTCTCTTGACATCCTAAACCGCCAGAGTTTGAAGACAAAAAGAAATCCACAGACAAGGCCAGATGGAAAGACTGGATGAGAGAGCAAGAACCGCGAGGCTATCTAAGAGGCTATAGTCTAGTAGGTACTAGGTAATCTACCTATCTACTCCGTACTGAGTTAATCAGTACTAGTCAGGTATGTAACTACTGTACTAATCCCTACCTCGCCCGTCTGCTCAGCCTTCAGCTCAGCCTTCAAAATTCTGTAACTACAGTCATAATACACATCCTCTCCGGGTGTCTCGCCCTGCAAAGGTTCATTCCAGATTGAAGGGGCAACGTGTGACCGACGAGAGAAGAAGATTCGATGAGTCGATTTGCGAACACCTCCACGGGTCCAGTGGCGGAATCTCCGTGCGCACTTCGATTTCATAGGTAGGCTGGTATCTGCCTGACCACCGGAAGATGTTGGGATAGTGCTGGAGAGAATTCCGCAGATAGTTTAGTAGACGAGACAGAAATCGATTGATCTGCTATGGCTGGACGCGAGCATGGAAGCCATAAAGAAGTCGGCACATGAACTCTATTCCCTTCCATTGGAGACACAACCGTTAGTGGTGTTAGTCGGATCGGGACTCGTCGTCCCTTCGGGCGTTCCATGGAACACTTTCCCCGCTGAGCTTTGTTCGCTGTGGCGCCTATTCTTCAAGGGCTGGATGAACTACTATCGATCTGCCTGGACCAAAACTCCTCAAGATTGGCATACTTGAGGTATGTGCGAAAACCATCTCGTCCATACGTTTATCTTTGTGCATATATATCTTTTCCCGGTTACGTTCAAGAGAGCTTACTCCAACTTGATGTACACAGAAGATAAGGGTCCTAATTTATTGTGCTGAGTCGACGCGGTAATATACCTTGGCTAGCCTGGTATTCATTCTCTTCCATTTTTGCGGGATTCGAACAAATGACTCGTACAATCTGGTTCTTACGATCTCCGCGCCCAGTTTCTTGGATTGTCAGGTCTTTGACAAGCAATACAAATCACCGATTCCTTTCCATGTGCGTTATAACCCTGCATAGTCTATTTCACTATAACATCAAAGGTTCCAGATTCCGGAGCTTGGCTCTTATGACTTTCTCTTTTCGGTCGAAGCAGGAGGACAATGCCATCGGCGATCGACTCCTATTTCCGAGCCTCGCAAGCTGTAGTCGATTTCGCACCCGTCCCAACACGGTACCGCTTCATGCTGCGACTTTTGCCTGTCTTAAATGACAGTAAGACGGCGCAAGGGAGAGATGGGTCGATTTCGACAGTTGCCATGAACGCAAGCAGAACTGCCCCAGTAGGTTATTATCACGGTCGCACAGTAAATATCTAGGCGAGACAAGTGAAAGGTGGCACACGGGGCACCAGCAATTTCACTCCGTACTACCCCAGTCTACTAGTATCCTGCGTAGACAGATTTTGCCTAAGGTCAGCCATGCAGAACGATCGTAGTGCCAATTGAGGACTGCCGATGTCCAGGTTTTCACTGTACTCCGTGTACTACTAGATTCTATAATTCGAGCTAGTCTGCAGGCAATGAGGCATACCAGATCACTCGTGTTGTACTTACCCTATACATATACTCATCCCACCACAAGATTGCCGTATCATATATCCAACAGCTTGTGATTGGAATACAAAGAAGGCTCTTCTAAGGTGCTCACCAATGGTAGAACGATCACTTTCATTTGCAGAGTGCATCTGCACCAACTCAGCGTCCTCTCCGGAAAATTTCATCAGCCTCCAGGATGTCCGGAGAACAGGCTTGACGTACTGTACCTGACTGGATCCACTTGAGCATGTTCGGCCTATGGACGATTTGTGATTCGGAGTGGGTAACATGATGCCGGGTGACGATGTTAAATATCTTACTGGCTGGTCAGCCTCTGTTCGGCTCGTCGAGGATATACGGAGTAGAGACAGAACAATAATGATGAGATCCCTGTCTCCTACAGCCCAGGATACCCCCAGAGGCACACCGCTTCTCTTTGACGATGGTCCGTTGGCCTGTCTTCCTTGCAGTTGAGAAAATGTCCCACAGATACGGAGTGGATGTACTTGCTTTCCCAGGGCGAATCTCAGGGCCGTGATCATTCTTTTTCCTCCCAGGAAGCAGACATAGATAGTGGGCAGATACACCATAAACCCCCAGCATTTTGCCAATCTCGTTCAATCAACACCAAACACCTGCTGAGGGGAGCATGTTGAAGCGCGAGGCTGACGTTGTGGGGACGCAATGCGGCAATCTGTTTTTCCTTGCTACGTAGGCAGCTGCTAAAAGCCTAGCGCGGCGACCTTTCTAGACCACCGTCGTTCCAAGGATCTGGCACAGCCGACCATCCTTGTCCGTGCGAGCACCATGGCTATGATTATTACTACGTGCGATATTTGGGGTCATGATTGCCGGACGACAACCTCATTGTGATACTATTATTATTGGTGACCAGCCCCATCTCTTTCCGGAGCCTCGATCTCCTGGCCCATTCAAGGGAGGGTCCAATTCCCCATGCTTGTAATCCTGTCACTCGTGGCTTCTGCTCAGTGAAACAAAAGCGGCGGTAAAATAAGATGAAGACCGAACCCCCGTGGTTCTGTCCTCAATTGACCACACATTCAAACAAATCAAATCCTTTGGGGAAAAAAGGTAGACAGATCAACATCATCATGCAGCAGACAGGTGCTACTTCCGCTAAGCTTGAAGGATGGTCTGCACCGAGCATCTTTAAGCTCAAAACAGAGTACCGGTACGTATGTACATGTACAAAGGGAGTTCAATCAATAATGACTGTTAAGTTATCACTAGCCACCCGCCGGCCCGCCGGATGTCGCTCTCTTGCATCCCGCAACCCTTTTGACAGACACCTGCAAATGCTGTCTACAAGAGACAGCTTCCAGTTTAAATACATCAATATTTCAACATTGCGAAACAGATAGCAGCAACATTTGCTGCTGACTGCTGTCTTTCACCATAGGAGTCAGTGCCGATGACGAGTATGCTCTCTCGTGTGCAACTATTTCGCGGTTGGGCCTGTAGGGGCAGAGATCGGCAGTCGCTTGAAAAGGTTTTTATGGTCACCGTTATTCAGCGAGGCACCTGAAGCAAGCCTTCTATTACCAGTCTAATACATCGTGACTGGATCTTACTTCACTTCCGGAAGAGCTGTTCAACAAGACACGCGGTGTTGTGTGTACCGAGGATTATCCTCGGTGCCTCTCATCGCCCCCTAAAGGTGACGGGTCGGCAGTTTCGAGCCATACATGGGATCCTCGATCATTTGCCGTCCTTTTTCTTTTTCCTCTTCTTGTCTTTTTCCTAAGGATCTGCGCCCCTGGCACCCACTGGGCTAGGACTTCACGGAGCAGAATTTGGACATATCGCAGACCGAACAAGGTTCATGTAGACAATAGGTGATCGCCCCAGCACCCTAAATCTGATAGAGTTCGCAGGCTGCAGGATCGCACCGCATTCCAGACGGGGGAGAGCTCGCTTCGAACAATACGGTAGGTGCCCGGAAGGTTCCCCCTTCCCTTCCTTCTCCTTTCTGCTACATGCACTTTCTTCCTTCCCCAGCTCGGGTGCCCATCAATAATTGAATCACCGAAGACATGTTCCATTGGGGAATAGCTTACGTCGAAGAGTGGAGGGGGAGGGGGTTCTTTTGTCTCACTGTAAAACACCACCTCACCTCATCTCTGTTCGATCGCCCAAAACGGACTAGCTCCCATTGATCGCCAAACTGGGGAGAAAAAAAGGGACCGCAAGGCTGTGTGGCCTTCCCGGAGTCCCTTAGTTTAGTAATTTAACATAGTAAGTTACTCGTTAGAGTAACTAGGTGGTACTCTGTACTTGACTGTCTGTCTATTCCTGTATACGAAAGGACGTTACCCCGAAATGGGGTGATGCTGCGCTTGCCAGGTGGCCGGAAAAACTGTTCTCAAACTGCTGCAGTGGGACAGACAGCCTGCCCAGTGTGCCTCTTATCTTTCTTGATTGGCTTGGTTTCTACGCGATCCAGGAGTAGCGCGTCCTGGCGCGTCCCGAGTCCCCAGTCACTCATCCGCGCGCTTCCTCTTCTCCGCCAAGAAGTATCTACTTACATTGGCTGACTGGGTCAGCTACGTCCATCATAGTTCGTCGCCCGGCAAAGGCGCCGGGAGATCTGCCTGTCGTCCGAGTGAAGCTGAGGAGCGATTGGATCTCGTCTCCTTTTACATGGGGAAAAAGAGGAAGAGGCCCGTGAAGGGCAAGCATGCGCAAGGCCATTCGTCGCAGATTCGCATCACTGCGGCCTCCACCGGTTTCAGGAATCAAAGTGGCTTTTCTTCTGACCACGCGACCAAACTCACGCACCCGGTAATATCGCTTTACTACCAGGAAGTGGTCACATTGAGACAGTTCCTCCTGCGCCAAGTACCATCAGCCTCACGGTCCCGTCGTCGAAAAATCGCATCAGTCCGAACGGATTTCGAAGAAGGCGCCAATGACTCGTGCTCGGATTCACAGCGAGAACTAGCCATTCTCCTTGATTCTACTTTGGTGGGAATCACGCAAGACCCATCCCCTGTCCGTGATCAGGAACGAAGCCAAGAGCTGGCTGCGTTGCGCAAATCTCAACCCAAGTCTCAACTAGCGAGCACAGACACTGGTCCGCCATGTGCACAAGCAGAGGTATGACTCTCACACGAGTTTGTCGTCTTTCATCCCGACAGCGCTGTATCTGCTTGCGTTCTAGCTCATACAAATCACTCCCTTGTGAATGATACTGGGCATTGAATGATACTGGGCATTGAATGAATATGCGCACAGAAAAGCTGACTTGATTCTGTAGCTTGTGGACCGTGCTATAGCATTGATCTGGAAGCCATTTCTCTCCGAGTCCAAGAAAAGGCCGCATCACCTTCTGACCCGGGGATTTCGAAGTGCTGTTGAGACGCATTTCTCGAATGAAACTGTTCAGAAGCTCAAAAGTGCCCCTTGGACGGAGGTCTTGGGATTACTGGGCAATAATGGGGAAGTCATTATGCTGTATCTCTTGTGCGATTGTGGGATTTTCACAGCCTTGGACTCACGCAAAGGCATATACCACCAGATCTGCGGTATGTCCTCCTCATCGAGTCACATGGAGGTGATACACGACTGATTAAATGAGCTAGGATATTCTCTCGAGAAACTTGATCCCATCAACACGAAGCCACAGCAAATATCCTTAGAGTCAAATTGTTCCACCACTGGCAAAGGATCCGTGGCGGTTAAGGATGGCCAGCAGATGACGGCAAATTGCTGTTCGAAAAGCCAGTCGAACTGGCGGACGCCGAGTGCCATTGTTTTCAATCGTCACCGCATGCTTTACGCTTCGCCCATGCCTGTCACCAAAGGAAAATCAAAACTGGGCCTAGGGAACCGTAAGTAGTCCCCAGTCCTTTCTCGCTATCATTATACTCATAAATGGTGTAGATGTCCTCAACCGTTATACCTCGTCCGTCTCGCAGTCCAAGGCCGTGCACGTCATGCAACACATCTTCCCCTTGCAGTTTGCACTGACAAACGTTTTCAAACCTGACCCGGAGAACGACTTGAAGTTTTCATCGCGTGAAGATGAGATCGCAGCGAAATCAAGGAAGCGAAAACGATCTTCCACAGACTCTGAGCATCAGATCATGAACAATGAACGAGTCAAGCCGGTGAAGATCCCAAAGCGCCTTCAAGGACAGGCGTTGGAGCTGGTTCGACAATTACTCAATCGCCATAAAAGCTGCCCGTACGGACACTTGTTGGACTACTACTGTTCTTCCGAGGTAGGTGTAACTAGCGACCCTACGAGTGATATAACAAGCTAAGAATCTAGCGTATTGGTCCATGGAAACTCGGCCCACGGGACTCCCAATCGAGCGCTGAATTGAACCCCCCGGCGTCCGAGAAGCTGACAACCCAGGAACGAGAACTCGAAAGATATGCATTGAATGGGGATGTCTCTACTTCGGAAGGTCAGAAAGAGCATGATCATATCGAAAGACCCGCGTTTGTTGCGGGGGAGCCGGCGATCAAATCAGCAACTGTATTGAAGCCCAGTTTGACGGACTATGCGACCCCGACCTCTTCCATCTCAGCCTATTGTCAAGCCGCTATCCGTAAATTGATTCCACCACAATTCTTCGGCGCCGGACAGAACAGAATTCGCAACCAAAGTGTAATTTTCAAGAACGTTGACAGGTTTGTCCGTATGCGACGGTACGAAAACATGTCCCTCCAGGAAGTGTGCAAGGGCGTTAAGGTTTGTTTGCACAAACTCAAGATCGACATCGTGTCATGCATGCTAACGGGCCGATTATTGCTTGCAGATATCTTGCATATCCTGGCTCGGTCCCGCTGCTGGCCACGATCAACTTGTCGATCCATCACATCATAAGCTTTCGCTCACCGACCTGCAGAAGCGCACGGAACTCTTTCATGAGTTTATGTACTACTTATTCGAATCCATTCTCATCCCCATGATTCGTGCAGCCTTTTATGTCACCGAATCTCAGTGCCACCGAAACCGGCTGTTCTATTTCCGACACGATGTCTGGCGTACCTTGACCGAGCAGCCGATAGATGAACTGCAGGCTTCTATGTTCGAAGAATTGAAGCCGGAAGAAGCTCAACGGGTGCTAGGTCAGAGGACTCTGGGGTATGGATCGTTACGCCTCCTACCAAAAGCCACTGGTATTCGTCCCATCGTGAATCTCAAACGACGGATGCCATCATCGAAACGCACTGTGAATTCCACGGTCGGTCCCATCCTCAGTGTGCTGAACTACGAGAAGATGCACAATCCAGCTCATTTAGGTTCGTGCCTAAATTCGGTTGGGGAGTTGCATTCTCGGCTGAAGAGGTTCAAGAGGGATTTACTCGCGCGACAGCCGGTGGCTGTAGGTTCATTGCCTTTACCTCGGCTCTACTTCGTCAAAGTCGACATCCAGTCTTGCTTTGACACTATTCCACAACAAAGTATGGTTCGTCTCGTCGACAAAGTGGTTTCTGCAGACGCATATCATTTCACAAAGTACGTCGAGATGAAGCCGGCAGACGAGTTTAACAATATGTGGCCGCTTCATGGGCAGCGGCAAAGCCGGGCCTGGAAGAGATGGGTGGGTAGAGCAGCTCCAACAAAGAGTCCCCTGAATTTGGAAGAATTAGCCAGCAGAGGAGGCACGAGCCGACGAAGGAATACTGTCTTTGTGGA